TGGAGTGGTGGTTTTTGAGTTTCAAGGATTACGACGGAGGGGAGGGGACCGGGTTACTGACCGAGAAGGAGCCGAGACCTTGCTTGGAGGTAAGGACCGGAAACAAACGGCAGGGATTGTAGTGGGGAGGGGATATGAAGCAAGAGCCCAATGCCCACGTGCAGGTCGGGGGCAAACTCATAAGAGAAAGGGGAGGGGCAGCGACGGCGGGGAGGAGGGGAGGGGAAGAGAGTCTCCCTTTCACCCTGGGACTGTGCAACTATGCGAGAACTGTGAATAGAGTTGTAACACTGTTACTTAAAGGCTTTAGTTTAGTTCAGTTTCAACTTTAGGTCCGGGCTTTTGCAGCAATTGTGCTTGTGCCGCTGGGGGGGGGAGGGAGAGGAGGGGGCGAGGAACCTCCCACCTCCCCCCCTCCTCCGTGGACCCGCCCATGTCGGTAGCCACACACAACTGTAAGTTTCACAACTCGTATTCGAACCCAAAGGCGAGCGCGTTTTGAGTGGCCGAGACGGGGCCGGTCGAATTTTAGTAGTTCCACTAATTTATTAGGACGCGCGTGATTAAACCGGAAATAGGGGCGCTACATTGGATGGGTGGCCGGAGATTGCAGTTTTAAAGGCGAGCTACGGTCCTGCGCAGAATTTTGGCGTGCGGTACGTGTTCTGGGCAAGTTCCACGGACGTGTGTGGGCGAGCGGTCGGATCCAACTGTGGTAGAGTGTCTGTACACGAGGGGCGCTGGTGCGTCGCGTCTTTCCACGTGGCAATTTTTTGTGTCCACGTGGCAAGTCGGTATGGATGCTCAGCGTCTCGTATTTCCCGGCTGGTGGGAATTCGGTCCAGTACGCGAGCACTGAGTGCTATCGTCGTGGTGCTGCGCGGATTTCACAAATTCCCTCGCAGGCGGTGCTTTTTCGGGCATATGCGACCCTGATCAGTCCTCTCGCATATCATCGTGCCCTGAGGCTTCATTTGCTCATGTCCGGACTGATATCTGGGCGAGCCAGGCACCAGTGCTGCAAACGTCCGACTCTGTTCATAAATAAAGCTAAAGTAACTCTAAGTAGCAGTGTGTTACAACTCTATTCCTAGTCTTTGCATAGTTCCAAGGTGGGAGGGGGCGGCGATCCCTCCCCCGTCGTCCTCCTCCC